AGAAGCGGAAGTGGTGCTAAATAGGTCGCCAGCCGCCCTGGCAAGCCAGGGAGCCGGGCATGACTCCCACCGGTGAAGGAGCGGGGAGGAGGTTCCCCGGTTACGGTGCCTGCACGCGAGTGCGGGAATGGTTTGCTCTGTGTCACTGGGACACACTGCCCGGACTTGCTTGGGTCGCTGCCGAGACAGCCAGAAGCCGCAGGCAGATTAGACCCCGTGTGGGAGGAGTCGGAAATGGGGTTTCGGGGGAGGAGCGGAAATTTAAACTCCAGCGCGGGAGCCGTTGAGTCTCCGCGGTGAGGTCTGGGAAGCAGAAGGAGGGTTCGCGCCCTGCGGGCTGCAGCGAGGGATTAGGCCAGGTGGGCTGCCTGCAGGGAGGAAGGAGGGCTTCCTTGCAAGATCCTGGTCTGCTGCACCTGGATTTGACCCGGACTTGAAGACCTGTGTCTTTCCCGAGTTCACCACGGTCCAGAGGAACACGGAACAGGCTTTTCTGCGCTGCTAAAATGGAGGCTAATGAGCACGGGTCCCGGGTCCTGAAAGGAGACAGCTGCTGCGTGAGGATGGCGACTTTAGCACCTTGCAGAGGGACTGGAGAACTCCTTGCACAGTCGACTTAAGATAAGGAAATGGGGGGCTTCTACTTGGGGGCGTTGGGCTAGTAGGCTGGTGGGGAGCATGGGAAGTGCTGGGTCTCCTGGGGAAACTGGGCTCAGAGCCCAGTGATGCTCGCAGCTGCCCGGAGGCCAGAATGCTGTAAATAAAGACCTGCTCCTCCAGGCATTAACTGCAGAGTCTTTCACCAGCGTGGCTCACGCGGACCCGCCCGCTCTGCCCTGTTACAATGTCACATTTTTAAAAGCACAGATAATTCGACTATTGAGAGAAATCCGCAAGAATATTAAAATTTTTAATTTCGAAATTATTTGACTAAGACATGGAAAGATTCATCAAGCCAGAGACTTAAGATTATTATTGTTCTTTATACATTTCACTCTATGGGTATGTTACCTGAAAAAAAGTAAAACCAAAAAATTTTGGTTACATGTAAACTATTTGGGCCAGCCGTTCTGTAAACTTGGGAATATTGCAAAGTGAGAAGATCTAACCTGTACGTTACTGTCAAATGGAATGACTTTTTACAAATACTAACGGCAGCACTTAAAGGATTACATGAATTACACTTTTTTGAGGATTTTATTTTCAGAGAGAGGGACAGGGAGAGTGACAGAGGGAGAGGAACGTGGTTGTGAGCAGTATCTCGTGGCCCCCAGCTGGGGACCTGGCTTCCAACACAGGCCTGCGCCCTGACCAGGTGGGAATCCAACCCGTGACCCTGTGGTTCACAGACCAGCACTCAGTCCACTGAGTCACAGCAGCCAGGGCAACATCCTGGAGATGATCGATTAAACCTTGGTGTGCTTCTGTTGGGGAGCTTCTCTCTGGAACTCTGCATCCAGCTGCGCCCGGGGCTGGGACGTCCCTCCCGGGCTGGGAAGTCCCTCCGGGGCCGGTCTCTGTCCCTCGCCTTCAGTGTCTCACGGGCCGTGCACTCCGGAAACCGTCCGCTCCTGTGTTCATCGCCCCGTTGCTGCTGCTGCTGTGTTCTTTCCAAACTTTCTCTTAACTACTTGCCCTGGAGATTGTAATTAGCCTCTTCACCTAAAACAATGCTTGAAATTAATAGCAACATTGCTGTATTATAACTATATTCCCTCACCCATGGTGCTGTTTTTATTTTTTTAAAGATTTTACTTATTAGCCCTGGCTGGTGTAGCTCAGTGGATTGAGCGCGGGCTGGGAACCAAAGTATCCCAGGTTCAATTCCCAGCCAGGGTACATGCCTGGGTTGCAGGCCATAACCCCCAGCAACCACACATTGATGTCTCTCTCTCTCTCTCTCTCTCTCTCTCTCTCCCTCCCTCCCTCCCCTCTCTAAAAAAAAAATAAATAAAATCTTAAAAGAAAAAAAAAGATTTTACTTATTAGCCCTGGCTGGTGTAGCTCAGTGGATTGAGCTCGGGCTTCGAACCAAACTATCGCAGGTTCAATTCCCAGTCAGGGCACATGCCTGGGTTGCAGGCCACGGCCCCCAGCAACCACACATTGATGTTTTTCTCTCTCTCTCTCTCTCTCTCTTTCTCCCTCCCTTTCTTAAAATCTTTTAAGAAAAGATTTTACTTATTTATTTTTAGACAGAGGGGAAGGGAAGGTGAAAGAGAGGGAGAGAAACATCAATGTGTGGTTTTCTCTCAAACACCCCCTCACTGAGGACCTGGGCCACAACCCAGGCATGTGCCCTGACTGGGAATCAAACCAGCGACACTTTGGTTCACAGACTGGTGCTCAATCCATCGAGCCACACCATCTAAGACCTTTGGTACTACTTTTATACATAGTAAGCCCATAAAACAGGTTTATAATTTTAGTAATGCAGTTTTCTTTTCAATCAGATAGGGAATATACAAACATCAAATCATTATGCTGTATTCCTGAAATTAATATTATGTTATATGGCAATTATACCTCAATAAAAACCAGGTAGTAAATGAACAGCTGCAAAGAAGCTTCCATCTTTATTATCTTTCATGTGTACTGTGTAGTTACTTTTCACCAGTGCTCTTTACGTCTACGACCCACTCAGTGACTTGGAGAGAATAGCGGCCCCTTCAGAAGCCAAGACAGGCGTGTCCCTCGCACACACACACCCTCCTGGTGTTCAGATACCTGTGCGTGTCGCCCACTCTACACCCGGTGTCAGGGAGGGTATCTATGGAGCAGGCTCCACCCCAGTCTGTGGCCCTTCTGCCAGTACTGGGGGTGGAAGGCCCTTCTGCCAGTACTGGGGGCGGAGATGTGTTTTCAAATTGAGGTTCTCGAACCTTAGTAGACAGAGAATGTTCATGTGCAATCCTGAACCCCTCGAGACACTCTGAACCAGAGTCTTCTGGGCAAACAACCCCTTATCCCCAGAGAGAGAGCCCCATACATAGTCCATGGTTACTTTCTCTGAAGTCTGTTTGATGCAATGACAGACCAATGCTGCAGACCCACTTATCAGGAATCCTCTACTTACCAGGAGAGGTCCATAGGCTGACACATAGGATATCACCAAATGATTCTCATTTGGATTCTAAATAAGTGTGAGATGCACTGATGGTGTTACGCATGGAATATTTCTCTCTCAAAAATGCCTATGTTAAAATGCTCTGCATGGAGGCTGGTGGTGGCTTTGGAGGGAGTTGCGCCGTGAGGGTGAAGCTCCTATGATGAGATTCTAAATAGACACAAGTGCTTGGTCTACGGCCATAGCACCCTGAACAAGCCCGACCTCATCAGACACAGAAGTGCGCGTTCTCATTCTGGTCTGCGCGACAGGAAGGCGCAACGAGAAGTCGGCTGTGTACAAACTGGACATCGGACCTACTGATGCCTTGATCTTGGACTTCCCAGCCTCCAGAACTGTGAGAAATAACTCTTTGTTGCCCAGTCTGTCCAATCTATGGTATTCTGTTGGAGCAGCTTGGGGTAAGAGGTGGATGGAACAGCTATCAGAGCGAGGGGGAAATGGGTCTAAAATATTGCCTTAGAAGCCCACAAGTCAAAAAGGGCATGAGAAATGCGCACGTCACCCAAGTTTTGTTCTGAGACTACTTGCCACGCTCAGAAGTCAGCCCTGAGACTCTAATAATAAACTATTTGGATTTGGCGGGGGGGGCGGGCTTGGCTCCAATAGGATCATCAGACCCTCATAAAGCTAGCTTTGTGGGCAGGCCAGGTGCTCTCTGTTTTCAGGTGTGTCTCCAACTGTGTGCTTCCTGAGAGCAATTGGCAATCACTTAATTCAGAGAAGTTAGGAGTGGGGGAGGGGAGAGTGGCAAAAGCAAGGGGAAATGGGAAGAAAGGGAAGGACAAAAGAAGCCCAGAGGAAAAGGGAAAGGAAGTTGGTGGAAGGTGGAGAGAGAAGATGTCACACAACTTCTAAAACTCCTGCTCCCCACAGGGGTTTTGAGGAGCGTGGAGAGAGGCTATTCAAAGTGGATTTTGGTTTGTAGTTTGCTTCCTTTTTCTTTAGTGAGTAATTATATTGTGAATATTCAGAAAACCCGGCACAGCTTGCTTCACCAGGTCTCAGTGGGTCTGTCAGCTGCCCCCAAGTGCGGGCTCTGACTGAGCAGGGAGGCAGGGATGTCGCTGGCGTCTGGCGCTGCAAGTTTTCTCTTGCCTCTGCTGCTGCTGCTGCTGCTGCTGCTGCTGCGGGGAGGAGCTGGGGAGACCCTGGACGGTGGGTGTGCTGGGATCGGGAGGCCTGGCTGGGAGGGGAAGGACACGAATCAGGCTTCACACAGGAGTCAGGCAAGTCGGGCCCTGCCCGTCCAGGTGCTCTTAGAGGTGGTAAGAGTGTGGTTTAGCTCCTACACCCAGGTTGCCAGGGACCCCAGCCGAAGGCGCTGTGCCTGATACTCTGCTCACCTGGGGCATTTCTCCCTCGCCTGCCGGGCCCCACGTCTTCCAGCAAGCCTTTCCTGAATGGCGTGTGTCCTATGGGGTCTTTCTCCCTTTATGCTCTGATTCCTATCAGTTTAGCTAGAATTTTAGTTCCAGGAGGACAGACACTGTCTCGTATTTTTGCACTCACAGGTTGGTAGATGTCAATGAAAAAATCAAATGAATGCTCCTAGTAACAGTGTGTGCACCCAGGGTCCATGGTAGAACCAGAGTGTTTTCCTAAACCTCAGACAGTTAAAGGTGAGACAGGACTAAGGCTGCAGAGATAGATGGAGGGACCTGGGCTGAGACCCCTCTCTCAGCAGCCAGGCCCTTCACAGGGAGTCCCCAGGCTACCTGTCTGCTTTGTTTGTTCTTCCCCCACAGATGCTCACTCTCTTGTCATCAACCTCACCGTCCAATCCCAGTCCAGACCTGGGCAGCCCTGATGTGAAGTCCAGGGCTCAGTGGACAAAGAGACTTTTCTTCAGTGTGACAGGGACAGCAAGAAGATCGTCTTTATGTCCCCTGGGAGACAAGCTAAAGTCCACCGGATTATGGACAGAATTGCCCACAAACGCTGGGAGACATGGGGCCCGAGCTGAGGACGATCCTGCCTGACATCAGACTGGAGGGAAACAAGACCAGGGGTAAGTGAGGGGAGGGGAGGGGACACGGACACAGTGAGCAGGAGAGGGGAGGAGGGTGCACAGGCAGGGAGGGGGCTTGGCGGGAAGGGACTGAACCCTGGTCCCACCTCAGAGCCACAGTGGACCTAAGGGCGAGAACAGGGCACGGCGTGCAGAGGAGATTGCAGCCCCTACATGTGCAGGGACACGCGTGACTGGAGAGGGTGGAGCTCTCAGAGGCAGGGTGACGCCCCTATGTGTGCACTGCAGGTCTCTCCACCCTGCAGGAAGAGGGAACTGCCCTGCCATCGTGAGAAAGAACGCCAGCTGCATCCTGGAAGTTCAGCTTCACTGGGCAGACCGTCCTCCTCTCTGACCCAATAAGCATGAACTGGACACTCCTTGACCCTGGAGCCAGAGGGGTCAAGGAGGACGGGGAGGACAGCAAGGACCTGGCAGAGTACTGCAGGAAGATCTCAATGGGAGATTGCAGTCAGTGGCTTGGGGACGTCTTAGACCACAGGGAGAAAGTGCTGGAGCCCCCAGGTGAGTGAGCAGGGTGTGGAGGATGTGGTGACTCTTTTTTCAATGGTCTCAATTTTGGAAGGTTTTTGTTGCTATTTGATTTTGTAATACAAAAATGACTGCCCCTTGTTTAAAAAAATCAATTAATGAAGACATAAGCAGACAGTTTAAAAGAACAAATTTAGCCCTGGCTGGTGTGGCTCAGTGGCTTGAGCACCGGCCTGCGGACCGAAGGGCCGCTGGTGTGATTCCCTGTCAGGGCGCACACCTGGGTTGCAGGCCAGGTCGCCAGTAGGGAGTGGGCGAGAGGCAACCACACACTGATGTTCCTCTCCCTCTCTTTCTCCCTCCCTTCTTCACTCTCTAAAAAATAAATAAATAAAATAGAAGAACAAATTCACCCCTTTCCCCCATTTTTACACACTCCCCCAAAATAGTGAGTATTAGCAGTGTGCCCTGTATTTTTCCATGTCTTCCTATGCAATCACACATACACAAACTCAGCTGCAGTTTGGGAACGTTAAAATATAAATATATAAGTGTGTATATTATACTTCTTTTTTTAAAGATTTTTATTTATTTTTAGAGAGGGAAGGGAGGGAGATAGAGAGAGAGAAACATCAATGTGCGGTTGCTGGGGGTCATAGCCTGCAACCCAGGCATGTACCCTGACTGGGAATCGAACCTGGGACACTTTGGTTCGCAGCCCGCGCTCAGTCCACTGAGCTACGCCAGCCAGGGCTATATTATACTTCTGTAAAGTGTATTTTTACCTACCAGGTGGTGGTTAGGATATCATTCCCATCAGTGCACACTGACTTCAGCAATCCTATTCCTGGATCTATCTCATTTTCTTGGAGTAATTATTAATAGCACCCTCTTTCACTACCAAAATTAACCTAGTTTGGACAATGTTATATGATCCCCTAATAGAAAGCTATCTGATGAATGAATTCACAACAGCCTATAAAGCCATAATTTTTGTCATCCTTACCCTATATATAAATGTTTATTTTTTACCCTTTTTGGTATTATAAACCATGCTGTAATGAAAAAATAAATATATATATCTTTGTTCATGTGTATGAATAATTCTATAAATCTGTACATCCAACTGTGAGATTCAAGGGTATATACATTTCCATTTTTATAAACTATCAAATTGTTTACTTAAAAGCTATACCATTTTCTATTCCCATAAACAGCACCCATGTGCCTATACCCTTACCAACCAATATTACATATTATATACTTTTTTGGCCCAAAAATGACAAAATATATCTCATTCTTGTTTGAATGTATGTTACACTGACTACAGTTGAGGTTGAATTTTTATTTTTCATATTACTTCATGTCTTTGGCCCATTTTTCCATAGGTTATTTTTCTCTTAATGTGAGCATTTTCCTTTATATTTAATGAGATACATAAGTGGAAAATATTGTCTCCCAGTATTTTACTTATTTTTCTCAGTAGCCAGGGGGAAAATGCCAACTCCACAGCCTTACCCACAAATATTTTGATTTTCTAAGAATGATGAGCATACATTTAATCTAAAACAGTGTCAGACTTATCCAGCCGTGGGTGGGGGTGTGGACCCAAGATGTTCATGGAGGGTTGTGACCCCAGACAACTGCATGCCCCAAATTCACTCACAGGACTTTCCAACCACACTTTCCAATATCCCCGCTGATCTCGACCCCTGACCTTCCCAGGAGCTTTGCCAGAGGATCCCACCCTGCAGCCCCAGGAGCTGACTCACCAGGCTCACCCCAGCCACTCCCCTGCACAGCTCTCTCCTCCCCCAGCTCAGCACCACCCTGGCTCACGAACCCCAGTGCCACCAAGGCCTTGCCACCTAAAAAGGTGGCAAGTTGTATCATCCCCCTCCCCCGCAGTTGTATCTCCTCCCCCTGCCTGAGACCAGCCCCATTAAAGTCTCTGCACCTGGGCCACAGAGCCACAGAAAGCAGTTTGCTGAAGCTGGCCCTAGGAGTGATGGTAAATAGCAACCCTGTCAGTCTAGGCTTTAGTCCCAACCATGTGTTCTACCTACTAGGGGGACAGCAGCATATACGTCACAGATTTAGGTGGGGTCTGCAACACTTTTTGTGGGCAAATAGTAAGTATTTTCGTCTTTACGGAACTTCGTATGTCGTTGCGTCAGCCCCGCACGTCCTCTGCTGTCCAACATGAGCAGCCGAGGAAGCGAGCAGATGATCCTGGGGCGGGTCTGGACACTGTCCTAGTGTGCCAGCCCTGCGTTCAAGGTAACAGGGCGTCCCAACGAGAGTGCTGTGTGCCTGAGCCAGTCCTCGCCTAGGGAGCACCTGTGGTGTGTTCAGGAACCAGAAACATGCCCTATTTTGCCTGCAGATTCTGGACAGAGTGACAGTGAGAGGGAGCGGGTCCCACAGGCAGGGGCCCTGCCCCCTCCTCTCTGTGGACTGGACTCCTTGCTCCCATGAGGCCAGGGGAGAGACTGAATGAAGGCTCAGGTATGAGCGGAGTCCTGCTGCTGCAGCACTTCTGGTGTCAAGGTCAGGGCCCTGCTCCTGCATCTCATTTGTTATCTCCGACCCTGCTCATTTCAGTGCCAGAAAATCACTTCTGTCTTTTGGCCACTGGGACTCTGTGACCTAAGAACCAGTGGGTGGACAAGCCCTGCTCTGGGTGGGCAGCTCTCCTAGGCCACTTCTGAGGCCACCTCTCCACCAGGCCAAGGACCACACCAGGTGTGAATTTTCCTGCTTTAGGTGTCGTGGCCTTGCTATGATCCTATGATTCTGTGTGTGATCATCCACTTAGGATGCCGTGAAGCCCACGTAGCACCTTCTCCTGCAACAGATGCCTCCATAGGTTCACGGGGCACAGGGCCGTGGTGGTGGGTCCAGCCACACTCATGAAGCCATGTGTTGTGTACGGCTGCCTTCCTGCTAGCGCCGCCTGAGTAGTTGCACAGACTTAGGATCTGCAAAGCCTGAGTGTTTTAATAGATGTGCTTTGCAGAAAGCCTTCAGACCCGGCTGTCATTGCATGAGGATAGGGTCGGGATCAGGCACCTGCATCCTCAGGGAGGTTTATGGTTGGGATTAATCTGTGACCTTTCATGCAGGATCCAATACTGTGTTAGCATTCTCCTTGGAAAAAAGGGTGGAAAATATGAGAAGGGAATACTTGGACTCCTCCACCAAGGTAGCCCTCCCCCATAGGTAATTCACCAACAGGTTTCTTGTGCTGTTGACATTTTGGCCAAATCATTCTTTGCTGTGGGGCTGTCATGCATTGAAAGATGTTTAACAGCACCCCTGGCCTCTACCCACGGCAAGCCAATAGCAGGAGATAATTCACATACTCAGCATATCCAAATCAATCAAGTTTTTGGTGAACATGAAAAATGTGCCTTTTATTTTAGGGAAAAAACTAAATGGAGTTTCTGGCCAACCCAGTATCACAGGAGTTACAGCCCCAGGAGTGGAAATGGCCTCAACAGAGGCATGAAAGCCTCGCTGTGACACGGAGGTGGATCAGTTTTCTTTTTCGCGGAATAAAGTTGCAGTGTTACTGCATCTGCCCCCCATCTTCTTTCCCCCCTCTCCCCACCCCCCTCCCTGCCCCAAGACAATAAAACCCTGGCTGAGTAGCTACTTTGGTTAGAGGTTCAACCAGATCTGCCAAGGTGGGACTGGACCCCTGGTCAGGGCACAGACAAGAATACGAGAATGAGCCAGTGAAGGTGTAAATCAGTGGAACCACAGATCTTGTCTGTCACTCTCCCGCTTCCTCCTTCCGTTAAAAAAAAATTAGAAAACTAAAAAAAATGAGTTGTGGCCCAAAAGTAATGAGAGCAACCCCAACTCGCCTGAAAACGTAGAGCTTTGCGGCTCCGCCCCGCGTGCACGGGCATTCAGTGCACCTTGGGGCCTTCGTTGTTGCTTCGCCTTTCGGTTTCACCCTGGCTCCGCTCTCTGGCATAAAAAGCCCCATGCTGCGTGGGCGGAGCTGCGGCTGGAATAGTTCCCCCTCCTTTCCTCCTCCAGCCCAACCACACAGATCAGCACTTGGCAGTGAGGCTAGCCCTTCACATGAGGCGGTCATCTAAACCGCCAGTGGCTAGAGAGGCTCGTGGATCCTTCCACCTTGCGGACCTGGTGGGCCCCACGGTAGCGGTCGCGATGGTTCAGATAGTGGGTGTCATTCTTGTCTTCTTGCTCTTTCTTCTGCTGCCGGACCCGGCTGCGCCCCACTGTGAGTATGCGGGTGCTACCTCGGGAGAGGCGGGGTGGGCACTAAGGCGGGGACCCAGTGGGGACCTTCCCGCTCCTGGAGGGGGGCACAGACCGTGCGGACCCCTCGGCCGTCATCTCCCCGGGCGTCTTTTTCCTTCGGAAAAAAGTCTCACTGGATGAATGAGCCGGGAGGGGGGAAGGGCAGAGAACAGGGAGAGGAGCGCGCTGCGGGAACTCCTGTAAACTCTGTCACTGTGGAACCACTATGCTGTAACCTCAAGATCCCGCTAGATCCCCCGCCCCACGGCCCTGGAAAGCGCTCCCCGAACTCCCACCTACCCCGCCGCCCTAACTGGGGCTTCGGAAGGGGGCTCCCAGCCCCCGGCAACCGGGTGTGAACAGGACAGCGGACGTCCCTGAGGGTAGGGACCCCAGGGCAGCTGCGTGTCCCCACTCAGCTGGACGACTACCCCAGCGGGAAACCCTCTTACTGCCCCGAGCTTCCTCCGTCACCCCCCAGCCGGCCCCCCCACTCCCGCCCCACACACGCCTCTCAGCCTTTAACTGTGAGACTTGTGCGCCCTCTGCCGGCTTCAGGTCGATGATTCAACAGGCATTTCCTCTAGGGAACCACTGCTTGCTCCTCACAGAACATTTTTTACACAAAGTTTTGCGCCCTCAGAACACTCCTGTCCCCAACATCTTCCAAGTTTGAAGTGACCCGACTCCGTTCGCCAGCGGCACCTTAATTTCTCTTGTCTGAGGACACCCCACCTCCCCGCAAAACCCTCTGA